CGTGATGGAGGTAGCAGTAGTGGAAGCAATAATAACGGTGGTGGTCGTACTCGTAATCGTAATAGTCGTAGTAGCAGTAGTAGTAGTAGTTGTAGTAAAAGTAGTGGTAGTGGTAGTAGTGGTAGTATTGGAAGTAGTGGTCGTAATGGTAGCAGTGAGGGTAAAAATATTGATCGTAGTAGTAATAAAGATAATGGGATTCCTATTCGTAATATTGGGAGTGGCAGCGGCAGTGGCAGCGTCAGTGGTAGCGGTAGTGGTAACAGTAGTGGTAACAAGAATAAAGGTAGTAGTAATAATAGTAGTAGTAGTAATAATAATAAGTGTAGTCGCTGTCGTCGTGGTAACAGTATTAGTAGCAGTCGTAGTAGTCGTGGTCGTAGTAGTAGTAGTAGTAGTAGTAGTAGCAGCAGTGGTAGTAGTAGGAGTACTAGTAGTAGTAGTAGTAGTAGTAGTAGTAGTAGTAGTAGTAGTAGTAGTAGTAGTAGTAGTAGTAGTAGTAGTAGTAGTAGTAGAGAGTAGTAGTAGTAATAGTAGTAGTAGTAGTACGTAGTAGTAGTAGTAGTAGTAGTAGTAGTACGTAGTAGTAGTAGTAGTAATAGTAGTGATAGTAGTAATAGTAGTAGTAGTAGTAGTAGTAGTAGTAGTAGTAGTAGTAGTAGTAGTAGTAGTAATAGTAGTAGAAGTAGTAGTAGTAGTAATAGTCGTAGTAGTAGTAGTAGTAGTAGTAGCAGCAGCAGCAGCAGCAGTAGTAGTAGTAGTAGTAGTAGTAGTAGTACAGTAGTGGTAGTGGTAATAGTAAGATGTAGGATGTAGAATACGCTGCCCAACGTCAGACGATCGCAATATCGATTCGCACTTTCCCCTGCGTTAGTGAAGTTTGGACCCGCTGCCCCTTTCCCCGGCGAACTCTGTCTTGATCCAAGATTATCATCTCTCAAGTCTTAAGAGGGGATGCTGTATCATCCGGGGCACGGGGTTAGCGGCGCGCGTATTGACAGTGCTCTGTGGTCCAAAGACTGAGCGTGGCCCATGAGACTTCATCTATCGTGATTTTGCGCGCATGCAGATCGCAATTTGACATCGGTTTGTGCCCGCAGAGAATCGAAACTGCATTGCCCTACAGATCGATGACGCCCCTGCTCGGTAAACTGATCTACTTTCTCTGGACGCTGTATCAACCATTTGCCCAGGGCACACCGGAACCTGAAAGGCAGCACATTCAAGTGTGACAGTTCGCGCGACACCTCTGCAATTTGTCCGTGGACACCTTGCCAACGCTCGGACGTCCATTCTCAGTGCATGTGTCGGTGATCCAGGATGCTTCTCGACGGCCCTCGTCGAACAAAAAACGCACACGTCCGAGCGATGCCAATAAATAACGAAACCACATTCGGAACGATGTCGACCCGCCCGTGTTAAAATGACCAGATGCCCGTCTCTACAGACTCCCGTGGGTGCACCTGCCACGTGTCTGAACGAGGCCGCGGGGCTTCCTGCCCTGACGAGCTGGTGCGACAAAGCGTTGAGCCAGGTCGTTCGCGCTGGGGGCGAACTGACTGACTCCGAGCCATTGACGCGTGCTCGCCGCGTCGTCGCAAATTGGCTCGAGTCCCGCTGCATCTACGCGCAATTGTCCGCAAACGAGTCTGTGAAGCGTCGCTCGGTATGGAACTTGCAGGCGCGCTGCGGCTCTTAAAGCCAGACAGCGGTGCTCGCCCGTCCCTATTAGCTCTGCTCGGGCGAAGATCGAACATTAAAAACACAATGCCGATACATTCGAACACTTCTGGTACCATTTTGCCTGTTCATCGGAATCTGGGTCCGCGGAACTGTTTTGCCAGTACGAAAACAGTCGGTTGGTACACCAATGCGCTATGGGTGGATAAATTGAGGAACCAATGTGCTCTTCAAAATGACGCCATGTCCGCTGGCCGAACATACATATATGCCAACCCTCTGGTCGTCTTTGCAAAATGGTCGATACCTTTGGCTTACTTCTAATCTGCCGTGGGTATCTATTATGTTATAACAAAAAACGTTTGCAGGACGGCGTGTTGGAAAACATGTGTTTAACGATTTCAAGACTCAACAACAAACCAAGACACGCAGCAACAAACTATAGTGTTTGTTCCGTGTGTGTGTGTGTGTTTAAATGTGTTTGCCATCGTCAAAGCCCACCGCGGACGGTCCGTAGGCTTCCGGGTCTGTTCGCACCAGTGTCAAACTGGTGTCAGAGCGTTTTTGCTTTAATCGTTTTCAGCTCCGCGCGCGGCAACAAGTCCCAGCCCGGCCCCACGCCCCATGCATGGATCTTACGGCGAATACGACAACGCAAATAATACACTAAGAGCGCCAAGACAATAAGCGTTCCGCTCGCTTTGTCAGCCTGCCAAGATCCCAAACATAGGAAAAACGAAACAAAAACGCCCAGGGCGTTTAAAGATGAGCCACATCGATAACAACCAGGCGCTTGAATGATACGCTGTTTGATCGCATCTCGGTGCACATGATTATTCTGACTTCCCTGCGATTTGTTTAATGAAGTAATCGTGCGAACCAGGAGTGCAAACAACTCTTGGCCGACATATGCATGCATTCACGCGCATCTTGTTGGGGGGGATGCAGGACTTCAGGAAGCTGCTCCAATGCACGCTGTACTGCCCGTTCTGGTGGAGCCAGATCATTCCTGGCTTGTTACCTCAACTGGTTGTCGAAATCACCAGATCCCTGAACGATGGCTCCTTCGATGGTCCGCTCTTCATTCTGTGGTGTCTGATGAGCGGGTGGGTGGGAATCGATGTTGGTAGATTGCACCATGCCGTGATGAATTTGCCCGTCAAGGTCGTCCTACCAAGCCTGATCACGGGCTCCTGCTCGTCGTGCTTGCCTTCAGGCTCGAACAGCTCAAACACTGTAGGATGACTGACGCTTACGAGGTCATTTGTGCGCCACGTGTGTGAACGACAGGAGTTGTTTGTAATCGTAGCGTTGTCATTGTCTGGTGCATGTTGAACCGCACCTTGCACGCAATTCACAATCACGCATGCCAGGTTGCTGCCTGGCAGGTAAAGCAGCTGCATATCTCAACTATTTATCGCCGGAGCATGGGCTGCGCTTTCAACTGCGAAGGCCCAAAGCGTCTGATGGTGCATGCAACATAGCACAAAGCCATCATGTTTCGAAACAGCTATTCCATCATGTTGCTCGTACCGCTGGCATAAGAGTAGCATTGGTGTGTTGTCGTCGTGATGGCTTTATGAGAGTTGGAAATTTTGCGATACTTGCGACGAACGCCTGTGAAAGCAACGTGCTGATTCAAGATCCAATACCCTCTCGAAGCACACAAGACCATGCATAGTGTGGGTTTGCGCTCGGCTTCCCGAACCCGCCCCGTCCCCCACATTTCCTGGGAGCCTGTAGCCCATATCACCCATCTCATCCACTGCGCTCTGCTGTGGGCAGGTCGTGACCTCATGCAAATCGACCGGCTTGAGATTCAGAGAATTCGGGGGGAAGCATCGGTGGGGGGGAACGGGAAAGGAGGAAGCGAGGAGTGCAAAGGGGAGCACGAGGACAAGGGGGGCAGAACAACGGCAATTGGGCAGGGGACACGGAGAGGGGCTGGGGAGATGAAGAGGAGGGGGGGGGGAGAAGAGGACTGCAGAGCAGGAGGTGGAGCAGGAGGAGGACAAGGAGGAACAAGAGGAGGAAAGGAGGAGGAGGAGCAAGACGATCGCGACGACCTCCAGGTCGCGGACGGCGGGGATACCTACAGCTCCCCCTCGGCCTTGGACGCCCACATCGCGAGGTCTTCCAAAATCGGCTCTCCCTGGCGCGCAGCAGGGAGGGGAAAGGGATGAGAGAGGAAAGAGAAGAAAGAAGGCCCCCGAGGTTCCCTGGGCCCCTGGGAGGCCTCTGGAGACCCCAAAGAGCATCTCGAGGCCTAGAGAGGACGAACAACTCTCAAAGCCTCTACCATCGAACTTTCATCACAGACGATGACAACGACGACGACGACGACGACCACGACTACGACCACGACCACCACGACGGAGGCGGCGACGGCGCCGACGACGCCACCGACGACGCCGACGACGACGCCGACGCCGACGCCGACGCCGACGACAACGACAACGACGACGACGACCACCACGACGATGAGGATGACGACGATGCCGACGACGACGATGATCACGACGACGACGACGCCGACGACGTTGCCGACGACGAGGACGCCGACCTCGACGCCGATGCCGACGCCGACGCTGACGCCGACGACAACGACAACGACAACGACGACGACGATGACAACGACGACGACACAAACGACTACCTCCAGAACCTCTGGTAGCCTCTGAGAAGCTCCGAGGACCTCCGAGAATCCCCCAAAACCTCAAACAACCGCCAAGAACCTCCAGAACATATCGAAAATCATCAGAGATCTTCTCTGAAGCCGCCGCCGATGACGACGACAATGGTGACGACGAGGCCAATGCGGCAGCGGCATCGGGAGCAGGGGTCCTCCAAGTATGACCCCAGGGCGACCCGAATTAGGGGAAAGCTATCGAAGTACGGAGATAAGCAAGGAAGGCATTATTTTTTTGCATGGCGTTGCTTCGCGTTCCATGGAATTGCATGGTGTTGCTTAGCACTGCCTGGCGTTACCTTGCATTGCCTGGCAATGCTTGGCATCTCGTGGCGCTCCTTGAGACTGCTTGGCGCTGATTGGCTTAGCTTGGCGCCGCTCTCTGCTGCGTGGCGCTGCTTGGCACTGCCCGGCACGGCGGCACGACCTGGGAGGGCGAGGGGCAAGACCGGGGGACCGACGAACGGTCAGGACCGGGCCACCCGAGGAAGGAAGGCGCGGAGCAAGACCTGTGGCCTGGGGTACAGGGCCGGGGAGCCCGAGGAAGTACAGTCGGGGCGTTGACCTGAGGAACCCTGAATAAGGAACGAGGCCCTCGATCTCAAAAGCGAAGCTTGGATTTCCCATCGAAAACCTCAGGAAAACCCAAGCCAAACTGTAAAACAATCAAGGAACACCGAGCCCCTCCCCAACGAGAAGGGTTCCTTCTTCAGCGTCCTGACTGTACGGCGAGGAACAAGACCCAAGACCAGGGAGCCGAGACAGGCCGAGGGCCGCCCCACCAGGTCGTCCCAGCTAGCACCCGTGGTCCACAGAGCAGGAGGTCGGATCCCCTCGGGCCCTCGGCAGAGCCTGCGCGGAGGAGCACGACAGGAAACGTCCCGAAACATCCACCTTCTAGACTCGTCGACGACGAGGCGACGACGCTCAGCGACGACGGCGACGACGACCACCGTCGCTCGACGACGACGTCGAGGCAGCAGCAGCGGCGGCAGCCGCCACCGCGGGAGCACAGCTGCCCGACGGCCGCCGACGGCCGCCGAGTGCCGGCGAGTGCTGCCGAGGATCGCCGAGGGCCGCCGGGGGTTGGAGGCCTGGAAATGGGCACCAACACCAACACCAGGGGGTTGCCTCCACAGGGGAACGATGATCCTCGATTTCGGTGTTGGTGGTAATAGTTCGGTCACCTTGGAAGCCAGAATATTACCACCATCACCGAGATCGGGATCTGCTTCCCTCGGTGGAATCCAGTGGAAGCACGCCGCCGATCTTGGTGTTGGTGTTAACCTCTAGGCCTGCGAGAGGGCCAGAACAATCGGCAGCAAATTGGGAAGCTGGATCGGGTCGGAATTTGGACGCCCGGAATGGGTACGGAAAGAATGGGCACAATGCCCTTCCAATCTTTCTGCCCGCCCTCGCTCCCCTCTCTTCGGGCGTTTCGCGATACGGGGCGATGAGCGAGGGGGATCGAGGGCTGCAGAACGGTGCCCTAAAGGGATATGGAGGCCCTCTGGGGGCCCTCTAAGGCCCTCTTTGGACGCCCGAAATGGGTACTGAAAAAATGGGCACAATGCCCAGCAACAAATGTTGTCCCAAACCAACAGCGGCCGCTGTTGGGCAGGCGGCCTCCTGTCCCAAATGGACACAGGCCGCGGCGGCGCGGACAGCGAGGCCTGTTCAGCATGAACAGGGACTGCTGTTGGGCATTTTACCCCTCCTTTCCGTGCCCACTTCGGGCGCCCAAACGGAAGGCGCCTCGGATCGGGTCGCATCGGCACAGGGCCGGCACCAAATCGGACCGGCCGCACCAGGATGCACAGCAGCGCCGCGCAAGCATCGGGGCGCATCGGACCACGAAAGCACGCATCGGAATCTTGGGTGTCCCAAAACCGTGTGGTGACAGACCCGGCGGTGACCTCGAAATCCGCAAAGACCTCACCGCACGGTCCGTCACCACACGGTTTTGGGACCCTGGAGGCTCCAGTCGCCCGAGACATCCTCGGAGAACGACCCAAGTCCCAAAACCGTGCGGTGACCCCGAATCCCCACCGACTCACCACACGGTGTGGTCACCACCCCGTTTGGGAGCCCCCGAGAATCGCCTCGGATTGAGCCGACCGGAATCGACACCGAATCGAAATGGACCCGGACCTCGACTCTCGGGGCACAACTCCGGGTCTCCGGCGGCCGCTCGGAACGATATGGAGGCACGCCCCGAACGCTCTGGGCGAGGCGCCGCTTCCAGAGCGCATCCCGAAGCAGGAAATCGTCGACGTGGCGATTTTTTCGCAGCGTGAAGCCGCAGAAACCTAGACATAGACCTCTTCCCCAGGGGCCCATTTCAGAATCCCGAACCGTCTTTTGACGGTCCTGGGGGGTTGGGGAGAGGCCCTGGGAGCCGGAGGCACTAAGCAAAAACCGTCGGTCGTGTTTTTTCCTCTCGCAACGCTGGCCATCGCTCGGACGTCCATTTCCTGTGTTCTTTTTCGGTGTCGTGCGTGGTTTTTTCGCCAAATGATCAAAGATGCTCCTCGATGGTCCTCGCCGAAGGAAAAATGCACACGTCCGAGCGATGCCAAGAACGAGAGGGGGTGGGGGACGTCCGAAAACGCATGCGGGAAAGCCGCCCCGGAGGGCGCCGAGAGCCGAGGCGGGCGCCGGCGGGGGCAGTGCGGCGCTGGCGGCGGCATCGGCGGCAGCAGCGGTCCTCGAAGGCGGTGCCCGCGCTCGTCCCCGGCGCATAGCGACGGATGTCGGGCAGAGCCTTCTTCTTGACCCCCTCGGCGGGAGGTCGCTCGTCGTCATTCGTCAGCGCTTGTTGCCGTCGTCGCCGTGGTCCCCGTCGTCGTGACCGCGGCCGGCTTCTCCGTCGTGCTCGTCATCGGTCATCGTCGCCGTCGTCGCCGTGGTCGTTCGTCGTCGTGGTTGTTTGCTGGTCGTCGTGATAGACCTCGTCGTCGTCAGTCGTCGTGCTTGTTTGCCGTTGTTGTAGTCGTCCGTCGCCGTCGAAGTCGTGCGGAGAGATCGGAGTTCGTCGCCGTCGTGAGTTGTCGTCGTCATGGTCTTGGACGCCGCTCTGATGGTGGCGGTGCTCGTCGCCGTCGTCTTCAGCACCCTTCGTCGCCGCCGCGGCCGCGGTCGTGGTCATCTCAGTTCTTCTTTTCCTCTTCCTCCTCCTTTTCCCCTCGCTCCTCCTGATCCTCCTCCTCCAGTCTCTTCTGATCCTCACCTTCCTCCCACGGAGGTGTGGGCGGTCGACGTATCTGGAGGGGTCCCCGTGAGTGGCAGGAGGTCCCAGAACGCCAACGGATGTCTCCAGATGACCTGGCAAACCAAAGGGCGGGGAATCATAGGGCGTCGGTCCCGCGGGCGCTTTTCCGCGCCACCCACCGTTCCCTTTTCTTCTCGGTTTCTCCTTTTCCTCCTCCTCCTCTTAGCCATTTCCCCCCTCCTCCTTGTGTCCATGCATTCCGATGGATCGCCCTTCGGGGTTCGTGTTCCTACCCAACGCGCCGTTGGCCCAGCGCCCTCAAGGGCTCGTGCCAACTGCCCCCTTTTCAAACGACCCGCAGGCAGGTGCCTGGTTCCTTCCTGCCTTCCCACTGCCTGCTCGCTGCCTCACAGTGTTGTTCACTGCGGTGGACGTGTTACTTACCGCTGCTCGGTTGTGCTCAATGTTGTTCAGTTTGGCTTGGCAGTGCCCACGGCCGCGCATTGCAGCGCAATGCTTGCCCACCTGCTGCTCAGCACTGGTGGGTCCTGGCCGCTGGTGGCCACTGGTGCTCAGTGCTGCGCAGTGGATGTTCAGTGCTTGCCCAGTGCTTGAGCACCAATGCCCACAGGTGGATCGATGCTGATCGCCCCTCGCTGACTGCTTATGAATACCTGCCCACTGCCTGGGCGCCGATGCTGAGCACTGCTCACTGAAGCCATATGGTTACACACTGCTGGCCCGTACTGCTCGGTGGCGATCAGTGGTGTTCACCAGTGCTCCTTTTTTTCTCTGTGCTGCTCACTGCTGCTGAATGCGGCGCAGTGCCTAGTCACTGCTGCGCTACTGATGGCCAAATGATTGCTTAATGCTGCTCGCTGTTGCCCATTGACTGCCCAGTTCTCCCCACTGCGGCCCACTGATTGACCATTGCCCATTCCGTGCTGGCTGATTGCGTGCCAGAGGCTACGTAACTGCTGTGCACTTCTGGTAACTGCTGCTGTCCTGGTCGATGCTGCATACTGCTGCTCGATGGCCACCCCCGCGCAAACTCCATTCGCGGGTTCCCGCAGCAGCAAGCTGTAGCGATGATTTGTGAGCAAGCAGCAGACAAGGATGTGGCAATCAGTGAGCAGCAGTGGCCAGTAGAGGTAAATCAGCGAACCAGCAGCGGGCACGCAGTGACACATCAGCGGGCAATCAGTGAGCAAGCCGCGATCACCAGCGGGCAGCAGCTAAAATCAGCGGGCAAGCAGTGAGGAAACAATGCGCAATAAGTGAGCAACACGAAAAGCCTCACAGCCAGTGCGATGCTCGCTCACAGCTGTTAACTAACTGACTGGTCGTTGCTGCCCACAGCTGGCCACTGGTTGCTCACCGTTAGTTGCCAATGCTTACCTATTGCCTGATCGCTGCTGCTCCTTGCTGCCTAATGAAGGTCGCAGCAGATCACTACTGCTTACTGCTGCCAATTGATGACCGTCGCTGCTTGCTGGTCGCTCACTGCAGCTTACTGGTGCTCTCTTTTGCTATGATGCTCTCTAATGATCCTTGCATTCAACCACCACTCATTGATGCGCGGTGCTCGTACCTGTCTGGTGACAGCTCATTGACTGCTCACCGCTGCACAATGCTTTTCAATGATTACCACTGGAACGCACTTGCGCTCTCTGCTGCTCACTGGTGATCATTGCTTGTGCTTGGCGCTACAGATTGCCCGCCGCTGCGCGGTGTTGCGGAGTGCTGACCAATGCCGGCCGCTGCCTGCTCATAGCTGCTCGCTGCTGCTCAATGGCGAGCAATGCTGAGCACTGCTTGGTCTCCGCTGGCCAATGTTTCTCAGGCCTCTTCACTGGTGCTTCCTGCTGGTCTCTGATGATCTCGATTTCTCGCTGCCTGCCCACCGCTGATCAGTGCTGCACCGTGATGATCAGCGCTGCTCACGGGTGATCGCTGCCGCGCAGCCTTGCTCACTGCTGACCACTGATGCGCGCTGTCGGCAGTGCTTGCTCACTGATTGCTCGCTGCTGCCCTGGCCTGCTAATTGTTGCTCGCTCCTGATCGCTACCGGTGACGGCCTGAGCAATGCTTACTCGGTGCTGCTCGCAACTTTCGCGGTGCTGCTCAATGCTGCTCGTTGGTGCTCACTTGTGCTTCTGGCTGACCTGAGCTCTCTGACGGGCTCTGCTGCGCACTGATATTCACTGCTGCGCACAGCTAGCAGTGTTTGTTTGTTCACTGTGTGCTCGCGATTGCCGAGCGCCGCTGTGCTGAGCAATCGATTCTGGTCAGTGTTGGTGTTCACTGCTGTGCACGGCCCGTCATTGATGTTCACTGCATGCTCACTGCTATTTAGACGTGCTCATTGCTGACCACTGGCGCCCAGTGCTCGCTGCGTAACCACTGCTGTTCAGTCCCAGCCAGTATTGGCCAACATAGAGCAGGGCTTGTCAAACCAGTCACTGCTGCACGGTTCCTACTCACTGCTTGCGCGCTGCGTGCCCACTGCTGAGCCACTGTTTGCTAACTGCAGCTCGTCGTTCACGCACCACATCTCAAGGGAAAAGGGGGCGAGGAGAAGCATGGGGATGATGATGGCGATGGAGGGGGGAAGGGTCATCATCGTCATGCCCCATCAACATCAGTAAGACAGCATCGGGATGACAAGGGGGAAGATCAAGACTTCAACAAATAACAAAGAAATCAGGAAAGTGAACAAAGGAGGGTAGCATCGCGAACAGAGAAGAACCGGGATGTGTGGAGGATGCTAGTGTGGAGGGGGACGAGAAGCTGCAGCATGCTCAAGAGCACAAGAGCACGCTGGTTGATGTTGCGACTCGTCCATTTCCTCATCTTGCCCCTCATCCGCCTCGTACTTTTCCTGATGCCCCTTTTCCTCCCTCTCCTTTTGGAGTCCCTGGTGACGTGCGTGAAGACGACGGCGTCGACGGGCGACGGAGACGACGGCGACGACGACGACCAAAAACACGACACGGATCGCGAGAGTAAGCACGTCAGAGGGAGGAGGAGGAGGAGGAGGAGGAGGAGGAGGAGGAGGAGGAGGAGGAGGAGGAGGAGGAGGAGGAGGAGGAGGAGGAGGAGGAGCGGCGAGGGGCTGGGCAGGCAAAGGTGGCGGCGGTGGGTCCCTGGGCGGCTTACTATAAGCCCACGCGGAACGGTGTTCACGAGCACCCCTGCAAGACGCCGTTGATGGGGGGTGATGGCGTTGGTAGGGATGGTGGGTGGGATGGGGCTGGAGATGAAACACAAACACGTACAACTAGTTTTGTTTCTTCCGCTACCACACGCGCCACCATCACAACACCCCCCTTCCACCCCCCCCCCTGCATCCCCCCCCTCCTCCGCCAGTGCCCCCCGAAGCCCGCCCCCACCCATGCCCGCCATGTTTTTTTGAAAGGCTCCACACAAGAGGACCACCTGTAAGAACCCGCGCAGGATTCGATGCATGACTACATCGTATCGATGTGTACACTCGCCCATGGTGCGATCAAGGCGCATCTGCGAAACACACTTCGGAAGTCAATCCTGCCAAACCAGTGGCCTTCGAGACTGACACCCTAGGATCTCCCGCTCTCAAGAAAGGAGCCCCCTAAACTGCAAATAAGTCTCGACCCTCGAACCTCCCTGGGCAGGAGCGGTCAGCATCGAATCCGTGAGCGGGACCAAGTCGGAACAGGCATCGGATCGGACCGAACGCGCATGGAGTCGGACTCGGGTCGGATCGGCCGCGCCAGGATGCACAAGTGGGGAGGCGGCGCCTGCTGCTCGCACGTGGAGCGGTGCCGCGAGCAGTCAATGGCGGCGACGGCCGCCCGCTTGTTGTGCATGGGCACGAGATCGGCGAGAGCGCGCCAGACCTCCGCGGCCCACTGCGGCGGCGACGGCGACGACGGACGGGGGCGGCGACCGTGGCGCCTACGACGGCGGCCACCGTGGCGACAACGGGGACCATCGCGGCGGCGGCGGCGGCGGTGACGGCGGTGGCGGAGCCTGCGGCGGCAACGACGACGTCAACACGGTCGGCGAGGGAGACGTCGACCACCACCACACACTGGACGGCGGCGGCGGCGGCAACGACGCCAAGCGGTCGGCAAGGTCGACACCTGTCTCCCCGTCGTCCTCTTCTTCCTTGTCCTCCTCCTCCTCATCATCACCCTTCTTCGTCTTCAACGACTAGTCCTCCTTCTCGTCGTCGCCATCGTCCTTCAAGTCCTCCTCCGCCTCAAGACCTTGCCCATGCTTTGGGCCTTCTTTGACGTGCTCGACGGGCTGTAGAACAGCACGGTCCACGTCTTGCCCTGCTTGGTCGGGAAGGACTTGTCACAGAACTCGGTCACCTTGGAGTCGCGGAACGACCCTTGCTCGCACTCCGGGCCCTCCTCGTCCTCGTCCTCGTCGTCCTCGTCGTCGCCGCCCTTCTTTGAGTCTTTCCGTTTCTTGTCCGAGAGTGCGGCCAGCTCGCTCTTCCACTTCTCCTGCACAAGACGCCCACGGCAACAACAGAACCGAACACCGACCGAACCGACAGCGAAAACCAGAGTGACCGAAACCGACAGGCCGAATGAACCGAGAAGGGCCGCAGCGACTAACTAAGCACCCGACCGAACCGAATCGATCGAACACACAGCCGACTGCGACGCAACTCATTGGACCGAAGTGCGCGCACCCGTGTTAGAAGAAAAACAGTGATCTGGCCATCGCTCGGACGTCCATTTCCTGTGTTTTTTTCGGTTTCGTGCGTGGCTTTTTCGCCAAATGATCAAGGATGCTCCTCGATGGTCCTCGCCGAAGGAAAAAAGCACACGTCTGAGCGATGCCAAGTGATAACATAAGAACTAGAACGACCCATGCAAGAATGAACACATGTCTCGGAGGGTCCGCGGGGAGCGCGTCAGGGGCAGCGCGGGGGGCGCCGCCAAGGGGGCCCAGCGCCGATCCAAAGTATCTGTGCGGACCTCCGAAAAATCATCAGATGTCGCTTTCCTCCACATGGATCGGGGTTCTTCTTGCGGGCAATGTCTTTATCCACATCCAGTGCGTCTTGGAGATGCGGACTCTCTTCCCAAAAAACATGAGGCGCACTGGATATGGATTATAATCTGCCTCCAACAGGCTCAATTTTTATCCATATCCAGTGCGCCTCGGCCTTGCGGCGCCCCTTCCAAATAAGTCCAAGACGCACTGGATAAGGATATAAATATTGCCCGCACTTCTGACCCGGGTCAATCCAGACCCGGGTCAGCAGGAAACCAAAACACTGCAACGCAAGACAACACGCTGCAACGCAGGTCTTCGCAAACCCGGGTCGACCGATCTGCGCGGCCGCCCCCCGCGGCCACGAGCGGCTCGCGGACCCAGGTCGGCCAGAGGGGGTCCTCGCAGGATCCTGCAGGCTCCGGTGCCCTGGCTGACCCCCGTTTGCACTGACCCCCGTCTCTCAGGCCCCCGACTGGGGGCGTCTTCCCGGCTCGAGGAGGAGGAGGGGGAGGAGGAGGAGGAGGAGGAGGAGGAGGAGGAGGAGGAGGAGGAGGAGGAGGAGGAGGAGGAGGAGGAGGAGGAGGAGGAGGAGGAGGAGTAGGAGGAGGAGGAGGAGGAGGCAGAGGGGCGGGGGGGGGAGGAGGAGGGGGAGGAGGAGGAATCGACCGCGCATCGCCGATAGATGGGCGACGGGTCCCCCGGGGGAATCCCCGCGCTCCTTGGCAGGCTGCGGCGCCTCTAGAGGCCCCGAGCGGCGCGGGGCCGGCGATGGGGGAGCGAGGCGCTCCTCCCCGAGCCAGTCCCTCCCTGTCTGAAGGGGCCCCAGGACACACAAATAAATACACACAAATAAACAGATGCCCCGTATTTTCCCATGTTTTCTGGGTTTCTGTCTTCCCCCCCGCTTCCCATATTTTCCCATGTTTCCTGGGGAATCGACGATTCATTGTGTCTGTGTGTTTCTGTCCCTCCCTGTCGTTGCCCCTGATCAGGGGTCACAGGTCGACCCCTGGACACCTGCAGGGGGAATTCTGGACGAACAAATAAAACATACTCCACAACTATGCAAAGGATGCCCAAGAATACGCAAAACATAGTCCCCCGACTATATTCTGACCATTGTGGAGTATTCCCCCTGTAGAGGGACAGGCCCGACTCAGACCTGGCCTGGAGCGCGCTCTGACCAGAGCTTCGAGGCGGATGCGGCCGTGGCCGCGAGGGCACCCCGGGATGTCCGAGGAACTCCAGACAGCAAACCTCGAGGCTCGAACCCCGAGCCTCCCCCATTCCTGCACGCCCATGTCCCCGGGAGTCGAGGAGCTCGAGGTCTGGGGCTCGAGCAACCATGTCCAGACCAACCATGCCCCCGGGAGCTCAGAGGCTTGGGCATGCCTCGGGACAGCACACCTCGAAGCTCGAACCCCCGTCCTGCATGTCCCGCCACACGCCCATGTTGTCCGGCTTGACGTTCTCGCTGCGCAGCAGCCGCTCCCAGGCGCGCGGCCGCGCCTTCGCGACCGTGGCGGTCAGCCGGCCGGCGGCCGCCATGTGCCAGGACGACCTCTCCTCCGACACGGAGTCCAGGAACTGCAAGAACAGCTTGTACTCCTTCCTTGCAGGGACAAAGAAGCCTGCATGAACGCATGTACACTTTCGGATGCCCACGCGGATCTCTGCGATCGGCGCTAGACCCCCTCCCCCGGCGCGCGCAAGGGGGGAGTCCAGCGTCGACGCAAGAAATCCGCGCGGACCTCCGAACATTTCATTGTTTGTGCTGTTCTTGATCTGCGGTTCCTTATCATCGAGTGCTCCCCGAATCCCTTGAAGGAGAAACAACAGTCCGAGACGACCACCGAGGAGTTCTCCACCTCCAGCGCGCCGGGCGCGTTCCACCGCTGCGCGAACTTGACCTGCAGGAAAATGTGCGAGGAGTTCTGGGCCCACTGGAAGGCGGGATTGACCTGCGAGGCCTCCCCGTACTTCTTGTCGAGCCCCCTGGCGGGGACACCCGCTTCGAGACCACGATGCTTTGGTTAGGTCGGGCATATCCTCCTATGGGCAGAGCTTGGACGGAACATCGAAAATAGTCAAAAAGTATTCAAAGATAGCCCAAAATACTAGAAGCATCGTGCCCTGGTTATTTGTTGCACTATGTTTGAATACTCCTCCAGTAGAGGGACATGCCCGACTTACTGCTTTGGCCCATGTGCGACTGACCGCCGCAGCGCTTGCTTCAGCCGTGCGGGAGCGGACATGGCGGCCCCCCGTCGAAGTGGAGTGGCGCACACTCTGTCTGCCTCTGAGGCCCAGGCCAGCGAAGGGCAGCTGCACGAAGAACTTCGCGCTCTCGCGCCGCCCCCCTGGGGGAGAAGAGAGGGACGAGGAGGACGAGGAATGGCGAATCGCGAAATGCGAGTCCGCCGACCCTGTCGGAGTGTCTGAGGGGAAGTTCTGGGCCCGTCGTCCTGGAGTGACCCTTGGAGACGAGCGTTCCTTCGATTTGTTTTTTCTCTTCTAGGAGACCCTTGAAAGATCCTTTCTTGGCTTGCCAAGCTCGCCACCTCGAAGTGAATAGAGCCAGAGCATTATCGAAGTCCTACTCGAGTTGAAAAGAGGCCCCTTCCCTTTGATCCCTTCCCCGCCCGGGGGGGGGTCCTGGGGGGGGGGTCCTGGGGGGGGTCCTGGGGGGGGGATCCTGGGGGGGGGGGGTCCCAGGGGGTGTCCCGGGTCAGAATACGACCCCACCCTTCCATTTTCGGGTCGCCTCGAGGAAGTTTTGCCCTCTTTCGGCAATTCAGGTCCATGATAATCCAAGAGAGGCCTGAAAGATCGCTCGAAGACACCCAAGAAGCCCTCCAGACGGCCCAAGAGGCCTCCAAGACGGCCCAAGAGGCCTCCAAAAGCACTCCCAGAAGTGCCCCAAGAGGCACAAAACATAGATGTCCCTTAGTTTTTGAATGATTTGGCCGTTCTGGTCTGTTCGGCTTCCCGACGCACTAAGACGGCCCAAGAGGCCCCCAAGATCGCCCCCAAGACGGCCCCAAAGGCCCCCAAGATCGCCTCAAGACGGCCCAAGAGGCCTCCAAGAAGGCTCTACAACGGCCCAAGGAGGCCCTAAGACGGCTCAAGAGGCCTCAAGAACGGCCCGAGAGCCCACCAGAACGGCTCCAAAAGGGGGCCCAGACGGGAGATTCGAACGGACATTTCGAGCCCTCGGCCCCAAGAGGGGGAGACTCCGTAGCCCTCGGCCCTCGACGGGAGATTCCGTAGCCATTTTATTTTGGCTCAAGAAATGGGAGCTCAAGACCAAGGGCTCAAGAGCTCAGACCAAGAGCTCATACCAAGAGCTCATCGCCACGCCACTTTTCCATTTCCCCTTCCCACATCTTGCGATGGCTGGCACGGGCACGCGAGCGACAGGAACACCGGTAAGAGGAATTCTCGAGCGCGAGGTCCGCCAACGGTTATTCAGCCCACTCCACGAGATGGATGGGCAAGATGACCTCGGCTCTCCTCTCCTCGCCAGTGCCCCCGACCACTCCCGGTCACTCCCGCAGAAGCTCACGCAGTACCACAACCTCATCTACCTCCAACGTGACAGCGAATCGCCGCCATCATCTGCCAAGAAGTTCAGCCGATCAACGTCACCATCGAGAACTTCGACAAACGCCTGCAGGAGATGAGTAGTAAGTTTGACGGCAAGTTCGGGGTGGTCGAGAGCCGCATGGAGGACATCGACACCCGCCTCACGAACTTGGAGAGCAAGTATGACCACACTGGCGGTTCCGCGTCATCCCCACGCAGCGTAAACACAGATCTGGGACCACATCAAGGCGCTGCAGTTGGAGATCGAGCAGCTGAAGGGCATCAGGACAGGGCGATGACCGCTGTGATCGGGGGCCTGCATGCCCTTGCGGGGGAGGAGGAAGCCCAGACTGGTTGACGAAGAAACTCTGGGACTCATTGACCCCCAAGCCAGAGAAAGTGTACATCAAAGGGGAGTTCTGGGGCCTGATGTTCGCACAATTATCAGATAAAACCGGGCGGGATTCGGCAATCCAGTTGATCCGTAAGTCACACTTCAAGGAAGGTTGGATCAAGGTTTGGGCTAAACCAGACATGGAGTTGCCGACGCGCGTCATCAATTCTTTTGTTTTGGGGGCGACGTACATCATGAAGGATTGGGGGTACCCTAACAACAGCATCTGGGCAGATCCAGCCGAAGGCACGATATGGGTAGGCGGCGAAATCGCGATCCAGGTGTCAATCGAGAAGGGCATCTTGAAAGTCGGTTACGGCGAGTGATGGGAAGCATGGCTGCTGCAAGATGGCTTTCCCGAATTTCCAGACATGGTGAAGAAGCTCTCCGAGAAAATCTAAAAGTATTCCTCCAAGGACACCGCTAAATGAGGCGCGAAAGGAAAAGGCAAACCTAAGGGGAAAGGTGGTGGCTCAGGCCGCCACTAGGGGTGCCGGCAGAGTGCGAGCAAGATTGTTTCACCTTCATCTGGTCTTGGGGGCTACAGGCTTCCTTCCGAAAGTCCCCTTGGCGCACAGAGCGAGCGTGACGGTGCACAGCATGAAAGGCCTAGCTGTCCTTGATTGCTGCGCGGGGCGGCTGTTTGCGCCTGGCTCATAACGAATTTATATTTGCATCGTGGAACGTGGAGGGCTACACAGAGCCCAAGCAGGCAGAACTAGAGTTGATCATGCATGAGAGAGGTATCAAGATATGGGGTATACAAGAAACGTGGACATACATGTCACATGTTTTTCTGCAGGGTACCTAGTCATACCATCGGGCAGGCCGGATAACTCCACACAGAAAGACGGCGTGGGGTTTATCGTCGCGCCTGGCGTGAGGCAATCCGTCGCAGGCTTCTGCCAGGCGTCGTCCCGCCTGGCTTCCATCAAGATCGGGATTTCTGGCGGAAAGGCGGCATTATTTTCGGCATACGCACCACACAGCGGCAAAACGTACCAAGAGTGACAAAGACTTTGTCACAGACCTTGGCGACTTTGTCGCGAAGACCTCGGCCCACGGCCCCGAGATCGCGACTGGAGACCTCAACGCGCGCTTGCACGAGCAAGGTGGGGGACGAGAGGGACATCGTTGGTCCGCATGTTTTCGAGCACCCGCGCCAAACTGTGAAGGCCGATGCGAACAGATTGAAGGGGCCCCAGGACACACAAATAAATACACACAAATAAAACGATTCCCCATATTTTCCAAAATGTTTGCTGGTTTTCGTCTTCCCCCCCACTTCCCATATTTTCCCATATTTTCTGGGGAATCAGTGATTAATTGTGTCTGTGTGTTTTTCCCCCTCCTGACAGATACCTGTTGGTAGAAATCTGCGCCCGGTTGAATATGTGCCTCGCTGACACGTTCTGGCCTTGCTCCCAGGAGTCGCTTGCCATGAGCTACAACGTCGGGTGCTCGCTGGGGTGCGAAGTGACCCCAGGCACGCACTCACCTATAGATGTAGACTTTTGCATCTGCTCAGCTCGCTCCGATCGTGCTGGGAAGCGCCGCTGTCTTCCCATCATGTCCTGCTTTCTGACTGCCTACCAGACCACCCCAACCCAACTCGAAGACCCGAATTTCGGGTTGGGGGGGGTAAGGGTTCCACGCGTGTTTTTTCGATGTTCCCCGACCCCCCCCCCACTGGAAATCGATGGTAAATTTGAGCCTTCGGGTTGGGTTGGGGTGGTTTGGTGGGTGGTGACTTTCGGGTCAACTGAGACTGGTAGTGCCAGAGCGGGCCGCCGCTGCAGGAGAGGCCGAGGCTGGACGCTCAGCAACTCGGCGCTGGAGGTGTGCGCCAACGATTCGTACAGCAGCTTTCGAGGCATCTCGAGGACATCAACGAGGGAGGGGACGCCGGCTCCGAGGTCGACCTCTCGTGGTGCCAGTCAGTACAGGGCAGCTTAAAAAAATGATTTTTATATATAAAACAAGGAATTTAAAACATGATTTATGTATGAATGAATGTATGCATGAGCGCATCGTTGTTTTTAATACTAGATCCCTGCATTTTGATACATGATCCGCACGCGGAGCATGTATTAAAAACGGCACTGCAGACGCTTTTGAGCACGCAGCTGCCCACTCCCTACCTGAGAAATCGAAAATCGCCCGACAGCCGTGGATCTCGGGAAGTACGCTGCAAGTTACTGCCTGGCGAGGTGATGCCAGGCAACGCGGTGGCAGCGTTGCGGAAAAGAACCTCGCGAACTCCATCCGCCAACACGTCGCCAAGGACCGCGCGGTGCGGCTTGGAAAGCTCACCGCCGACGGCAACTGGGTTGAAATACGGAAGCTCCGGAAAGGGTTTGCCCTTGCCTAGGACGGCTTCGCGATTCTGAAGGACAGCTTGTTGACAACGAACGCCGGGCGGAGACGTTGGCAGCTCGCCTTGAGAAGATGCAGTGGGCGGTCCTGCCAACCACAACAATGCAGAACGCTGAACACATCAACGAGGAGCTTCTGGTTCGCAAGGGGCCCATCACCGAGGACGAGGTCCAAACCGCAGCGAAACGCCTACGGGGCTGGACGACCTTCCGCCAGAGTTCTGGAAGGCAGCAACGGACTAGGGAGAAACTGCACTGTCATGGATTACGAAGCTTGGCAACCTGGTGTGGAGCACGGCAAGAGTGCCTGATCCAAGGTTCAAGGCGAAGGTCACATTAATTTACAAGAAAGGAGACACTGCATCCTGCGACAACTACCGCCCAATATGCTTGATGCCGATCGGCTACAAGATGTTCGCCATGATCCTTCTGAGCAGACAGAAGGAGGCTGGATCGGATAATCACATTTGGAGGACGCAATTCGGATTTCGTTCTGGCGGGGGCACAGCGGATGCGATCTTCATCGCAAGGAGAGTGTTGGAAGATGCATGGGCGACCAAGGATGGCGCTGCCTTGTTCCTCGCGCTTGACTGGGCGAAAGCATTTGACTCGGAGTCGCCCGAAGCGCTCGCTGTCTCACT